TGATGGGGGTATGTCAGAAGGCACAGAAGCCAACTGAAAGAGCTCCCAAGGTCAAAGCTGGAATAATTTGAGCAAGAAAATAAAAAAAAAAAACCAGTTGGATTATAACCCAAAGTATAAAGAAAATCACCATGAGTCCCCACTGATACAAAGAAGTGAATAAATACGTAAATGTGGGAGAACAGACAAATCTCCCCTGCTGAAGAATCCTAATAATTTATGTAGAAACTCCATACTCCTTGGGTGTGGGCTGTGCATAGTGATCTCCTGCCAAAGAAAGCAGTATGGACATGGGAAGCTGAAATATACGAAGGAGAAGGTGTGATCAGGCTTGGAGGAAGACTCATTAATGACCTGCAATATGCAGATGACACAACCTTGCTTGCTGAAAGTGAAGAGGACTAGAGGCACTTACTGATGAAGATCAAAGACTACAGCGTTCAGTATGGATTACACCTCAACGTAAAGAAAACAAAAATCCTCACAATTAGACCGATAAGCAACATCATGATAAACGGAGAAAAAGTGAAGTTTTGGAGGATTTCATTTTACTTGGATCCACAATCAACGCCCATGCAAGCAGCAGTCAAGAAATCAAACCATGTATTACATTGGGCAAATCTGCTGCAAAAGACCTCTTTAAAGTGTTTAAAAGCAAAGATGTCACTTTGAGGACTAAGGTGTGCCTGACCCAAGCCATGGTATTTTCAATCGCTTCTATGCATGTGAAAGCTAGACAATGAATAAGGAAGACCGGAGAAGAATTGGTGCCTTTGAATTGTGATGTTGGTGAAAAATATTGAATATACCATGAACTACCAGAAGAACGAACAAGTCTGTCTTGGAAGAAGTACAGCAGGAGTGCTCCTTGGAAGTGAGGATGGTGAGACTTCGTCTCACGTACTTTGGACATATTATCAAGAGGGCCCAATCCCTGGAGAAGGACATCATGCTTGGTAAGGTAGAGGGTCATCAAAAAAGAGGAAGACCCTCAACAAGATGGATTGACACAGTGGCTGCAACAATGGGCTCATACATAGCAATGATTGTGAGAACGGTGCAGGACTGGGCAGTGTTTCATTCTGTTGTACATAGGGTTGCTATGGGTTGGAAACGACTTGATGGTACCTAACAACAACAACATTATTTTAACACTTACCCATAGAAATTAAAACATATAAACATAACTTGTTAAAGGCTCAAACTAACAAACACTCTTACTCTCTTCCAGCAAAATACATGGATTCTAGGACACTTTATCTTACTCTTGACTCAGATACTTGAATTTTTTTTTCAACCTCACAAAACTTTATTATTATTGTTTTACAGTCAATGTTTGCTTACATTTACTTATTTATTTGCATCAAAAAAAATTGAAGATAAGCTAGATAACTGGGATCTTCTAAAAATTAAGCACTTATGCTCATCAAAAGCCTTCAACAAAGGAGTAAAAAGAGAACTTACAGACTGGGGAAAAAAATTGTCTATGACATCCAACAAAAGTCTAATCTCTAAAATCTATAGGAAATCCAACACCTCTACAATAAAAAGACAAATAATCCAATTAAAAAATGGGCAAAGGATATGAACAGACACTTCACCAAAGAAGACATTCAGGCGGCTAACAGCCACATGAAGAAATGCTGGCAACCACTAGCCATTAGAGAAATGCAAATTAAAACCACAATGAGATACCATCTTACCCCCAACGTTACTGGTATGAATCAAAAAAACAGAAAATAACAAATGTTGGAGAGTCTGCAGGGGGATTGGAACTCTTACGCACCACTGGTGGGAATGTAAAGTGGTACAACCATTTTGGAAAATGATATGGCGCTTCATTAAAAAGCTAGAAATAGAAATACCATATAATCCAGCAATCCCACTCCTAGGAATATACCCTAGACAAATAAGAGACGTCACGCAAATAGACATATGCACACCCTGTTCATTGCAGCATTATTCACAATTGCAAAAAGATGGAAACAACCTAAGTGCCCATCAACAAATTAATGGATAAATTTTGATACATACACACAATGGAATGCTGTGCAATGATAAAGAACAATGATGAATCTGCAAAACATCTCACAACGTGGATGAATCTGGAGGGCATTATGCTGAGTGAAATAAGTCAATCACGAAAGGACAAATACTGTATGAGACCACCACTATTACAAAACTCATGAAAAGATTTACAAACAGAAAGAAACAATCTTTGATAGTTACTAGGGAGGGGAGGGGTGGGGAGGGAAAAACACTAGACAATAGGTAAGTGATAACTTTGGTGAAGGGTAAGACGGTACACAATACTGGGGAAGTCACCACAACTTGACCAAGGCAAGGTCATGGAAGCTTCATAGACACATCTAAACTCCCTAAGGGACTGAGTTACTGGGCTGAGAGCCAGGGACCGTGGTCTCGGGGAACATCTAGCTCAATTGGCGTAACAGTTTATAAAGAAAATGTTCTACATTCTACTTTGGTATCATCTGGGGTCTTAAAAGCTTGTGAGCAGCCATCTAAGTACTCCACTGGTCTTACCCAGTCTAGAGCAGGGGAGAATGAAGAAAACCAAAGACACAAGGGAAAGGCTAGTCCAAAGGACTAATGGACCATAACTGCCACAGCCTCCACCAGACTGAGCCCAGCACAACTAGATGATGCCTGGCTACCACTGCTCTGACATGGATCATAATAAAGGATCCTGGGCAGAGCCAGAGAAAAATGTAGAACAAAATTCAAACTTAGGAAAAAAAAAAAAAAAAGACCAAACTTACTGGTCTGGCAGAGACTGGAGAAACCCTGAGAGTATGGCCCCCAGACAACATTTTAACTCAGTACTGAAGTCACTCCTGAGACTCACCCTTCAGCCAAAGATTAGACAGGTCTATAAAATAAACAACACACATAATTCAACCATGTATACAAGACTAAATAGGCACACCAGCGCAGGGGCGAGGACGAGAAGGCAGAAGACGACACGAAAGCCGGACGTACGGAAATGGTGAACCCACGGTCGAGAAGGGGAGAGTGTTGACGCTTTGTGAGGTTGGCAACCAATGTCACAAAACAATACGTTTATAAATTATTTAAATAGAAACTAATTCGCTCTGTAAACTTTCACCCAAAGCACAATAAAAAAAAGAAAAATCTTAATTTCTTTTTTATGTTAGGTCTTCCATCCGTGATTACTTCCCTTATCTTGAAATATACTTTTAAAATTTTCTTTAGCATGGGTCTGCTCAGGGCAAACTCTCTCTTTTAGCAGTATTTGTGTTTCTTTTGAGGTGTGATGGTGTACCAAGACTAGTTCCTAGGAGGCTTAATCTAATTCTTATTACATACATACCTCACAACAGTAAGCAATTCCATGGCAGAGAATGCTGTACCTACTAAGCTTCTCCAGTGCTGTGGCAATTTGTCTCAAAACAAAAACAAAAGGAAGGCAACTTGTATAAAAAGAATGAATGAACTTTCGTAGGCAAAGTGAAACAAAATTTTTAACTAGAAAGGAAAATTAGAGAGGCCTTTGTAACAAATAGTAAGAAAGATGGTATAGTAATTTCCTTCCTAGACATTTAAAACTAACATTTCCTAATTACAAACGTGAAACTCTTTAGTACAGAACATTTGGAAAACGGGCTTCTCAACCACTGCACTACCTGCATCTCGGGCGGGATAATTCTTTGTTGAGGGGCCCGTTCTGTGCCTTGTAGAATGATTAGTGCATCCCTGGCCTCTGTCCACTAAAGGCCAGTAGCACCCTCTACTCATCACCCAGTGGTGACTCCAAATGTCCCCTGAGAGGCGAAATTCCTCCAGATTGAGAACCACCAACACAGAGGAATTAAAAAAATCACCTGTAATCCTACCACTGATAAATGTTAGCTTTTTGTTTACATAAATAAAAATCACATTGCACTTACTGTTCTGTAGCTGTTGTTTTTGTTTTTTGTTTTTAGTCGGTAATACAGCATCAACATTTTTGTTATGTAATGTCCCTCTACAATATGATTTTTAATGGATGTTAGTGCTAACATTGTATGGATGTGCCATAATTTAGATAACTTATTCTCTAGTATTGGAGAATTTGATGGTTTCAGATTTTCCTCTCAGGAATAAGATACACCAAATATACTTAAAGGGCCCTGGTGGCATGGCTGAAGCCCTTGTGGCATGGTGGTTAAGTGCTATGGCTACCAACCAAAGGGTTGGCTAGTTCAAATCCACCACATGCTCCTTGGAAACTCTATGGGGCAGTTCTACTCTGTTCTACGGGGTCGCTCAGAACCGACTTGATGGCGAGTTTGGTTTTTTTGGAGGCATCGTGGTTAAGCTCTGCAGCTAACCAAATGGTCAGCAGTTCGAATCCAGCAGGCGAAGGAGCGCTGGTGGCACAGTAGTTAAGTGCCAGGCTAACTGAAAGCTTGGCTGTTTGAACCCACCCAGCAGGCTCCGTGGCAGAAAGACCTGGCAGACCATAAAGACTACAGCCTAGGAAACTCTGATTCTACTCTATCGCGTGGTGTCACTATGAGTCGGAATCTACTTCACGGTCACACAACAACTAATATATTTGGTTATTTCCTTAGAACAAATTCTTGTAAGTAGAAGTGTCTCTCAAAGTAAACTGAAACTATTTAAATATAGTGCTATCTGCTGGAATAGTGCTAGACTTCAGTGACATCCATTTTCGCCTTCCCCTTCCAATTGTTCTTTACGGAAACACGATCCATTTTCGCTCACAGAAAAAGTGTTTTCCAGACTCGCCCCCTACTCTTGCGTCCTCGGCTAGCTGGAGGACAGGGGGCAGTCTTCGGTCCGAGGTTAGTGAGCCATATCATTCCTCCACTAGCAGGAGGCGCTGTGGGCGATCGCCTCAGCGAAAGCCCCGCCCTGCGCCCCCTTCTGCGGCAGCCCGGCTTGCGGAAGTGTTTCTAGGAGACGGTGCTCTCAGGCTGCGCCTGCGCAGTGGACGCTGGCCGGGGCGGGTCGACGGGCGGAGGCGCTGGCCGGTTGAGGGAGTCGTGCTCTTTGGGGCGCCGGTGAGGCGGGCTGCTGGCAGACGTTTCGTCGGGATGGAGCACATCCGTACGACCAAGGTAGTCGGGCGCTAGCGAGCTGGCGGAGGTGGGAGGTGACAAAGGCTCGACTGCCGGCCGGGGTTGGGGACGGCCGGGCGGGGCCGACTCCGGGCGGGGGCCTGGCCGGACTGGGTCTGGGTGGGGAGGCCGGGCGGGACAGGGTGTGCTTGCTGCGGGCGGGCGCACAGGCCTCTTGTCCATAGGAGTCGAGCCTGGCTGCAACCCCTGGTGTCGGGGTGCGGACTGTTTGGGCTGCGGGAGAAAGTCGCGAAAAATTTGGGCGCCGCCCTCGCAGCGCTACAGTTTCTCGGACACATTTGGAGCAGAGGCCAACATCGCGGCTCCCAGCCCTTAGCCGCCTCCAATATTTGGAAAGCCGGTTCTGATACGATGCTGTATAGCTTTTCCGTGTTAGTGCTTCATTGTTCCGTGCCACAGATTCTTGTTGCAAGTTTTGGAGCAGCCGATATCAACACTCCGACGTGGATCACTTTCTTGTCTCGGTCTCCAGTCACTTAGATTTGTTTTTTCCGTCTCTGCCTGATTCTTTAAGGAGCCCTGGTGGCGCAGTGGTTAAGCTCTCGGCTGCGAACCCAAAGGTCGGCAGTTCCAGCCCACTAGCGGCTCCGCGGTAGAAAGATGGGGCAGTTTTCTTCCATAAATATTACAGCCTTGGAAACCTATGGGGCAGTTCTCTGCCCTGTAGGGTCGCTATGAGTCGGAATCATCTAGATTGCAATGGATTTGGGCTTGACTCTTTAGTTATTATCTTAAGTGTCAGTAAACCAAACCCGTTGCAGTCCGGTCAATTCGGACTCAGAACGACCCTATAGGACGGAGTAGAACTGCCCTATAGGATTTGGAAGGCTGTTATCTTTAAGGAAGTAACAGAAACAGATCGCCAAGTCTTTCTCCCGTGGAGCTGGTGGGTTCTAATCGCCAGCTTTTTGGTTAGCAGCCAAGCGCATAACCATTGTGCCACCAGGACCCCTTTTAAGTGTCAATAGTCATCTTAGTAAAGGAGTTACGGAGAAGGCAAAAATATCATATATTTTAAATGATACTGTTGAAATTGTTGTCCAGTGGGATTTATTAAATCCCATGCTTAATTTTTGTGGGAAAGACATTTAATTTGAGAACAAGTATTCCTTTGCTATTTTTACAAATAAAAATTAAAAAAACAGGCATCAAAATATTATCAGATTTCTTTACTAACAACATTTTAGTTAAACTTCAACTTTGGGAAGGAGAAAAACATGAATTGGGACCAGAAGAATTGAATCATGATTTTAAGATCACTCTGAGCCTTATGAAATCAGGAAGAGGACCCACCTGTGAAGCCTCACTTCCTCCTCTTGCTGAAACCATCAGTTACTGCTCATCTTACAGTTGCCATTCATTTAGGGAGCAAGCAGGCAAAAGTTATCTTTACATGTTCCAAGGAGAATTTGAGATCTGTGCCTTTAAAGGAAACCCTGGTGGTGGTGTGGTTAAAAGCTATATCTGCAAACCAAAAGGTCGAAGGTTAGAACCCACCTGGCGCTCCTTGGAAGCTCTATGGGGTGGTTCTAGTCTGTTCTACAGGGTTGCTATGGGTCAGAATTGACTCGAATGCCTTTAAAACGTTCCAGAAATGTTTTAAGGTGCACTTGGAGTTTTATTGTAGCTCATTTTGACATTGTACGAATTATACTGAACAAAATGGGAGATGTTAAAAATTGGTTCTTTTTAAAAAATAACTTTTTTTTTTTAAAGAAAAGGTAAAATAACTCTAGAATTCAAGTTGCTGGCACTTAAAGTTCAAAAACAGAAGGATGGTCAAGTACATAACCAAACTAGTAAAAAGTGCAAAGGTGGAAAAGAGTGCTAAAGTATGAATCAGGTCAGGTTCTTGTCTTGGTTCCATGGTTCCAGATGTGTATTATATAGTAGTTGTGTGCACATGGCTTCCTTCTGTACCACATTGAACCTCATCTTTCCATTGTTCATCATGCTTGCTAACAGTGAATAGTACACAGTAGAAAGCCAGTAAAAGTGAACTGAATTTAATTGGCTAGAGTAATCCTATTCCTCGGTGATGAGAATGAACAGAATTTTGGAAAGTCATTAGGATCCTTTGCTTATTTTAAGCCTTTACTCCTTAAATTTATGATGAATATGTATCTTTGTTTTTACATAGGTAGTTGTAAGCCCTCTACTTATTTCCTTGAAGATTGTTGCTGATGACTTTCATTTCATTTTCATGTTCTTCCTCTACCTACCTACAACTTTCTTCAATTAACCTTTGATATAGTCTTGTATTTTCACAATGGGTCTATGCTGGGTCATTAGGTAAGGTCCTTTTTTGTGCCTTTTTAAAGACTAAGAGATTTCTGACTAATTTTTAATTAAAATTACTTCTCAAGTGTGTGCATTTATTACTTTGGATTATTTTTCTAGCATTTGACCGCTGCTCTGAATAATCTTAAGTGGGTGCGTGTAGACAACAATTAAATATTTACTAGGTACCTATTACTACTAGGCTGTTGTGAGTCGGAATCAACTCGAGGGCAATCGCTTTGGTTTGCTTTTGGTTATTATGTGCCAGGCACTGTATTAGACATTGGTATATAACAGTGAACAAGATAGACCTCATAATACATTCTAATAATTGTTATACAGGCTATGACATTTTCTTAAATTATTATGAATCTATTGGGAAAATAACTTATTCTTAAAAGGTCAATTTGGACATAGCCAACTTGTATTTCTGTTAGACATAGCCTTCACCTGGACATAGTTAATTTCCTGCAAAAATAATTGTAAATATTGCAAAACCAAAAATGGATTGCTTTAGGTTCATTAGTGATTTTGAACTCTGTAGTTTAGTCAGTATGATCAAGAATTAACAGTAAAGTACTATATAACAATTTACTGATTTGTTCTATGTGGTTAACCTAGCTGTATTTGAAAAGTAATAATTATCATTTATTGAGCAACTGTGTGTCAGTATAGTCAATGATACAATATTCTGTTAATTTCGAAGTATTTACAATTACAGATATGTTAATTTATGTAATATTCTAAATAACCCTGCCAGTTAGGTATTATTACTTCCATTTACAGATGAGGAGGAGATGTTAGAGAGCTTGAGTAACTTGACCAATTAGCTCATAAGGAGTAGAGTTGGGATTTAAATGTTTTGTCTAACTACAAAGACTATATACTTTTTCCACTGCCTCTCTAGTTTTAATTTAATTGTTAAATTTTTATTAACTTTCCATCAGTAATAAATCCTAATAATAGGTCTAAGAGCCTTCTTCCTGAAACCTGTTCTTGACATTTGTAAATTATATTTAATTAGTATTTTTTAAATTGTTTAGGGTCATTGTATATTTAATTTCCTGCTAAACACAGTATTTAAGCTGAGTATTAATTAAGTGGCTTTATAGTTAGTTCTAAAGTTCAGGAACAGTTACGTCATCCTGTTTTGGGAAATCAATTAGTAGTTAAAGAGGAACATCAGCACAAATGAAAGAGCATTTCCAAGACATTCTTAGGAATTGTGTAGCTACTGCTTATCACTTGAGCTCAGATTTTGCCATAGTGAGATAGTCCTGCGAAGAAACAATGAGAAATATGCAGAGCCAGTTCCTCTTTATGTGGTCTTTCTCCTTTCCCTCCCTGGCTCTGGAATTTTGGATGGCATCATATATGGGTGTCAAATGATATTGTGCTATTTGTGAATGGAACTTTACAGAATGGAATGGAGGATTGTTTTCCTAAGCTATAGGTGAAAGACTGCTTCCTAGAGTTTGTTACAGAATAGAATGTCCCATGAATATCTGACTCTACTAGGGCTCAAATTGAGTTATTCCAAAAGTAATGCATAATTTGTTCTTAATTTACACTCTCTTTTTCTCATTAGAATGTGAGATCATACACGTATGTATATAAATATAAGTTACCGGTTATGAAGAGGGAAGGAGACACAAAACTAAGAATAAACCAAGAATAAGAAGAAACGGATACTATCTTAATTGTCTGTGAAATAAGAGCCAGTAGGTTTTGTGGAGCATCTGAATACCTCCCCAAGTAAAGTACAATTTTTTTTTTTTTTTTTTAATATTTTATTGTACTTCATGTGAAGGCTTACAGAACAGATAGTTTCTCATGTAACAGTAACACACATGCTGTTTTATGACATTGGTTAA